AAAAAAAAAAAAAAAAAAAAGATTTATCCGCCCCCACCCCCACCCCACCTCCCCTTGCAACCTGATTCTCATTCAATTGGTCTGGAATGGTGCTCAAGAATTTGCATTTCTAACAACCTCCCCTAAGGGCGTCCCCTGGAGCAACCCAGCTAAAGACTCTGGAGCAGAGGGTGCAAGTTTTGGGACCTTAATTTTGAGTAGCAAGAATCCCCGCGCTGTCCAAAACGGAGGCCACTAGCCACAGATGGCTATTTAAATTACTAAAACAAAATCAAATTTAAAATTCAGTTCCTCGGTAGCACTAGCCACATCTTAAATGTTCAATGCCACACGTATTGAAAAGCGTCCAGTATTGGATATTTTCATTACCATAGAAAGTTCCACATGATAGCGTTGCCCAGGCCGTTATAAAATGAAGGCTGATCTTAGGTCCCCCTCTTTTTTAAATTTTTTAAAAACGTTTATTTTTGAGAGAGACAAGAGACAGAATGTGAGCGGGCGAGGGGCAGAGAGAGAGGGAGACAGAATCTAAAGCAGGCTCCAGGCTCTGAGCTGTCAGCACAGACCTAGGCTCCCCTCTTTCCCATAAGATTTCAGAGGCTCTTAGTCCCTAATAAAGGGCATCGAGAGTCTAGAGGGCACAGAGATTCTCCTAAACGCGGACACCCTGAAAACGCCTAGGAAGAGTCCGGATCTTCCCAGGCGAGAGAAAAGCCAAAAACTTTGAGTTCATTGGCTGGTGGTGGAGGGGAGGCTGCCAGCGCTCTCCTCTGATTGGGTACTTTCTCATAGCGGAAAGCCAATCATCCAGGGAGGTGGGGGCGGGGCCCGGCTCGCCGTACAGGCCCCGCCCCGAGTTCCGGCGCTCTAAGCACTACGGGAGAGGCCGATTGGCGGTGAGTTCTGACCTTTTACCTGCTTAGAGACCCTTCCGTCCAGGAATTCGGTTCACCTCTTGGGGAGTGGGGAGGTAGGGGCAGGTCCTCCCTCCAGCCCTCAGGGAGCACCCCCCTCCCGCCCTCAACTCCAGCTGTTCACAGTCTGTACCTGTCTGCGCTCAGTGTCACCGCCTGTGAAATGGGATTGGGTGGGAGGGATGGGAATGGGAGACATTGCAGTGTGCCTCGGACAACAAGGCTATGTTCCCCCACAGGACGATGGCTCAGGAGGGGGGCGGGAGCCTGTCCGAGGTGCGAGCCCGGGTGGGGGCCTCACACGGCATCACCGATCTGGGCCACAAGCTGCACTTCTATGACCGCTGGGCTCCGGACTATGACCAGGTAAACTGGCCAAGGCTCCTCCCCCTCTGCTTCTCTTGCTTGCCCAGACTCAACTTTCCTATCTGTAAAGTGGGACTATTTAGCTTTGCATCATCCCAGGGTGACTTGTGAGAATGAGGTGAGCCCCTGCAGTCCTGCTCCTTCAAAAACTGGCCCCGTGTTCAGCTCGTCCACAGCAGCCCTGCCCTCTGACCAGCCCCATGTCTCCACATTGGCAGCCCCTAGAAATCAGGAAACAAGACACCCGCCCCCACCCTGGGACTGCAGCCCAGGCAGAGGGGCTACCTGGAGGAGGTGCCATTGAGCGCACACACACATACACACACACACAGCTTGGCCCGAGTGACTCCTAGACCACCCTACACCCAGAGGTCACCCAAACACTGGGGCACGGGACGCCAGGCAGCTCAGCACTCTGTCCCCAGGATGTGGCCGCCCTGAAGTACCGCGCCCCCCGCCTCGCAGTGGACTGCCTTACCCAAGCCCTTGCAGGCCCGCCCGATGCTGCCCTAATCCTGGATGTGGCCTGTGGCACCGGCCTGGTGGCTGCTGAGGTGAGGTCTCCCCACATCCCCTGCCCTCTCTTCAACTCCCCACTCGCTCAAATTTCCTCCCACCCCCCAGCCCCAGAACCCTGCCTCCCCCCTCAGACTCACCGGTCCCAAACATGTGGATGGACTCCCATTTACTGTGGAGCCCACTGCCCTCCCCAGGCGCAGGGACCCAGCCAGGAGATGGCAGGTGTGAACTGTGACTGAGCACCCCCCACCTTAGCTGCAGGCTCGGGGCTTCCTCCAGCTGCATGGGGTGGATGGGAGCCCAGGGATGCTGGAATGGGCGCGAGCCCGTGGCCTCTACCAGCGCCTCAGCCTCTGCGTCCTGGGCCAGGAACCTCTGCCCAGTTCTGAAGGTACTTCTTCCCTTCCCACCCAGGCGCCTGGACAGTGCCCTTCTTTTGTCCAGCCTCCTTCCTGAGCCCTTCACAAGTCCCCTGCCACCACTGAGCCCCATGAAACCTCACCGGGACCCTCTCTGAGGCCCCGAGAGCCCCTCTCTCTAGGCCCTCTACCCCATGATCTGATGTCAGTCCCAGATGGGGCCACACCTGCCATATCCTCCCTCCCTACGGGCATCATGAGGCCCCACTGAAGACAAAGCCCACACCGCATCACATTGCACACAGGGACCTTCGATGCGGTACTGATGGTGGGTGCCCTCAGTGACGGCCAGGTGCCCTGCAGTGCGATACCTGAGCTTCTGCGAGTCACCAAACCAGGTGAGGAGCAGCCTGTTTAGCCCCAGGTGAATACCTTCCCCCTCCACACACCCACAGACACTAACCTTGGAACCTGTCAGGCTAAGCGAGGGGCAAGGTCCTGCCCAGGGTCACACAGCCTAGCCTAGCTTCCCAGTCACCAGCTGCCACCATCAACAGAGCCAGGCAAACAGGCAGGGCAGACTGGTAGCCAGCTCGCCCTCTTACCCTCTGGGCAGCTCCCCTCTATGAGCAGAGCCCCTTCCCCAATGGATTACGGTGAGCATTGGGCGAAATGATGTGTCTGAGGCCTTTGTTTCAGTCCTGGCATGTCTTAGGGGCTCAGTTCAGTGCTCTCATCTTCCGGCTTCCTCACTAACTTGCTGACAACTGTTAGGGGAGTCTTTTGCTTTTCCCCGGTCTCAGTTTCCTCATCTGGGAAATGGGCCGCTCAGGTGAGATGTTAGACGTGAGCACTTTTCGTAAACTCCACCCGTGGGTTGATGTGCGGCTAAGGATCGTGTTTACTGTGCTCCTACTGCGGGCCTTGTCCCACGCTGGCCTCTGCTTTAGAGGGGCGGTACGTACCCTGCTCTCTGGGCTTCGATCAGCAGCCCGCTGCACCCCACTGCACCCCAAGAAGGGCTCTGGGGGGAAAGGCCAGGGCGCACACTCTGAGAATTCAGGGAAGAGAGGCATTTCCGGGGGGCGGGGGGCGCTGAGGACAGTGCACATGGGAACACAGCCACAAGCCAAAACAGATCAGGAAGACAGCCACAGGGAGGCAGAGGCAGAAAGGAGCATGGAGGAGCAAGCGGAAGCTGAGGCCCTGACTTGGCTGCAGAACAGGCTCAGAAGCCCCCCAAGGTACCTCTGCGGCAGCAAGGCCACCTCCTCTCCCTGCCCCCCTCACCCCTGCTGGGCCGAGCAGGGCCTGGGGCTAAGCCTGGGCAGGTCTGGGCAGGCTTCAGCCTCAGGGAGCCATAGAGACTGGCAGATGCAGGGTCTTCAGTGGGGTCAGAGAGAGAGGTCGTGATTGGGCTCAAGAGAACAAGAAACTCGCACTGGCAGAACCAGCCCCGCGCATGCTTGTCAGGCCCCTGAGCTGGCGAGAGCCCTGAATGCCTGCACATATGTCACAGGCTCCCCTGCTTTGGAGCCTTTCTTCTCACAGAGCCCCAGCCACCCACCCTGCAGGGCCCTGCTTCTCCTTCCCCCTTCCTCCAGGAAGCCTTCCAGACACCGTATCTGAGCCCTACATGTATCTGAGCGTGCTATAGGTATCTGGAGAAGACCTGAAGGGATACGGCACTCATCTGTTCAGCCAGCTCTTAATGACTGTGAGGTCCTTCCTGTGAGATCAGTAAAACAGCCCCACTCTGTAAGCTGGGAAACGGAGGCTCAGAGAGGTGAAAGGACTTGCCCAAGATCCCAAGTGCTTCCTCCTTGTGCATCCAGACACAGCCACATCCTCTGGCAGAGGGGCTGGGTGAGCACGAGGAGGGAGCCCCCTCTGTCCAGGGGATTAAGCCAGGAATTCCCAGCGCAAAGGACACAGGAGCCTGGAAGGTTGTGTAGGAGGCTGAGGAAGCAGAAGGGTGTTCCTTGGGGCAGGAACAGGGAACAGAAAAGCCATGGAGATAGGAAAAGGGGGGGGGGGGGGGAGAACATATGTCCTTGAGGGCAAGTGCAGGAAAGAATAACCTTTCTGGGAAGGGGTGGGCCTAGAGCCTGGAACCAGGGCTCCTGCCCCTCCCCCCTCACCTTCCCCTCCCCCACCCCGCCTCTCTCCCCAGGGGGGCTGGTATGTCTGACCACCAGGACCAACCCATCCAACCTCCGCTACAAGGAGGCACTGGAGGCCACCCTGGACAGCCTGGAGCGGGCCGGGGCATGGGAACGCCTCGTGGCCTGGCCTGTGGACCAGTGGGAACTGGCCACGTCCGAGCTTGAGGTGCTGCCTAGAGCTTCTGGCAGCGATGGCTTCATCTCCGGCATCGTCTACCTGTACCGAAAGCAGGAGGGGGCCCAGGCAGAGGGAGTGCAGCCCAGTCCGGAGCCCCCAGCTGGCCTCTGACCCTCCGCGTGGCCTCATCCAAGCCCATCCGTGGGCTGCCTCCACTTCATCTGTAAAATGAGGCCTCTGAGCCAACGTTGCCCATTAAATGAGTCCCAAGAGGGGTAGCAGGACTCTGGCTCTGTGATTCTGTTCCCCAGGAAAGTGATGTCTGTCCCCGAGAAGGACAGAAGTGAGAAGAGACAGAACAGAGAGGGCCCCCACCCCAGGCCGCCTCGAGCCAGCCATGATAGGCCCACAGATGTCACTTCCTGACACCTCCCGTGGTGGTGGGCCCTCTCACGCCACCTCAAGGGCAGGAAACCCATGCCCGTGCCTCTGGCCTTGGCTGAATACGTTCACAGGGCCAGGATTCAGCTTCCTCTTCCCTAAAGGACCCGGAAAGCAGAGCTCAGGGTGTGTCTTAGAGGCTGCCTCGAGCCACTGGCCAGGTGAAAGGGTTTGGTGACCACCGGCAGTCGGGGGTATGAACAGGACTAATGATAATCCCCCGAAACAGGGGCCGTGGGAAGTCTCCTTAGGGAGGAAGACCGAAGGCCGGCCTTCAGGACAAGCAGCATTCAGAGGGGGGGAGAAGGGGCTTAAAAAGACGCTCTAGACCCATAGCAGGAACAGCCTGGGCCATGGCCAGGACGCAGGAGCCAGAGGGTGAGCAGATCAGCCTGGCCACCCAGACAAAGCTGGGACAAAGATAGATAGAGGGCAGGTGGCCCACCCCCCGGGGCTGAGTGTCCTCACTGCCCTCCCTCCCTGGGTGCCCAACGCTTCAGCGGGGTGTCTCCTATGGATGCCTTTACCTTCCAACAAATGAAGGTCGTCAGCCAGGTGATTCCCAAGGAGAGGGCTAGCTCTGATTTGTCACAATCCTCAAAACCAGGGTTTTTGGGGGGTGGTTGTTTTTTAAGCGTTCTTGTGTTGGCCACCACATCATGGTCCTGATCCTCACCCTCCCCTGCCCACCTTCACGGCTGAAATCAGAAACGATGCGGTCTTCCTGTGCACGGGTCCCATTTATTGTAGAAAATTATAGTAATTACTGTGATAAACAGATATTAAGTTATAAAACAGAAACCGGAGACAAGGCAGGGGAAAAGGTCCAGGACTTCCTGGGAATGAAGGCCAGAGAAAGACCGTTTCCCCCCCGGCCCTCCCCAGGATGCCCAGTGACCTTGGCAGGGGCAGTGAATCCAGACGTGGCCAGTCACAAGAGGCCCAGGGTCCTCCTGCAGAGGCTGCTGAGGCAGAGCCCTGAGGCTGCAGGGTGGGGGCGGGGGGGGGGCGGGTAGCCTGGGCGGCCTCCATGGTCTCCTCCCCCACCACCACCCAAACCAGTTTGTAGCACCTTCACCCCTCCCGTCTAAACCCGTCCGTCAACTCTGCTCCACGGGCAGGTGGGTGAGTGAGGCGCCAGCCAACACAGGAGTGGGGCACCCCCTCGGAGGCAGAGCGCAAGCAAATTCAGGGCGAGCTCTTCTGACCAGCAGGAGTCAGCTCCCCCCTCCACCGCCACACCCTGTGACTTCTGCCCCCTCTCCTTCTGCCCCTTCTCCTGTATCCCCGGGGCCAGACGAGGCCAACACAGAAGTCTCTGTCCATCCTTGCCGGCGGCGTAGAGGAGGCTCTGCGTAGGTGTCCAAGGGGGCCGAGGGCTGCCAGCCAGTGGCCCGGCTGAGTCCCTGCTTGCGCAGCCTGCGGCCCGTGGCAAGGAACATCCTGGGGTCACGGGCTGCGCCTTCAGTCCAGGGAGAAACAAAGCCCGGAAACAGAGCTGAGTGGCGGCCCCTTACACGTAGTTGCTGGCGGGGGCGGAGCGGGCGGCGGAGTACTTGGCGGAGTAGGGCTTGTCGGTGCGCGGTGGGCAATTGCAGCACAGCAGGGCCCCACCGAGCAGCAGCAGGCCCGAGGCGGCCCAGCCGACGTAGAGAGAGGCGCCCATCTCCCGCTTCTGGCCCGAGGGCACCAGCGGGTTGTAAAAGTCCCGGATGATATTGTTGGCCGTCCAGGACACCGGCACCATGACCAGCAGGCCGGCCATCAGGAACACCACGCCTGCCACAACCATGGTCTTGGCCTTGGCGCTCTCGTCCTCCACACAGTTGGTGCACTTGCCGCCCACCACGGACAGCAGCACGCCCAGCACGGCCAGGATGATGCAGATGACCATGAGGGCACGGGCCGCCTGCAGGTCCTGCGGCAGCGCCAGCAGCGAGTCGTACACCTTGCACTGCATCTGGCCGGTGCTCTGCACCACGCAGTTCATCCACAGGCCCTCCCAGATGGTCTGCGACGTGACGATGTTGCTGCCGATGAAGGCCGTCACGCGCCACATGGGCAGCGCGCAGCTCAGTATGGCGCCCAGCCAGCCCAGCACGGCCAGCGCGATGCCCATCACCTGCAGTCCCATGGAGGCCATGGCTCGGCGTCTGCTGGCGTCTAGGATCCGGAAGGCTGTGGGGATCCGGCCCTGGGCAGGGGCTGTAGGAATCCAAGCGCTGAGGACAGACCCTCCGCGTCAATGGGGAAGACTTTCACTTCAAGTCCAGAGGCAGAGATACTCCGATCAGCTCCCTGTCTCTCCAGAGTCAGAAGTACCAGCGGAGCGTGTGACCTGACCTGTTCCGCTCAGCAGCTGGCTGTCAGACTGGAGACTGGCGCAGTTATATGGCTCCATGGGGAGGGGGAGGGGGAGGCGGGAGCAGAGGGAGGCGTTTCTGTCCCTGGAGACTTCCCCTGACCAGTTTCTCTGGATTCCTGAGTCAGGGCCAACAAAGGCCCTTCCAGGCCTCAACCCTGGGCCCCTGAGTCAGGATCCTGGAGATCCAGTCTCAGGGGAAACTGCCCTCTCCCCCTGCCCCCAGGCCCGTGCTGAGGTCAACCTGGAGACAGACACTGAGTCACAGTCCACAGGCGCACCGGGACGCGTGGGGCAGTGGTGCCTGGCCAGGTTAGGGTCCCAAAGACCGGAGCCCCACACCTCAGGGCTCCCTCCTTGCAGGCTTGGGTGGACAGGCTGGGTGGAGCCCGTTGGGGAGAGGGTCTGAGGAGGAAATCCACACCTTGATTGCCCTAGTCCTGTCGGTAGCATCTACCACCGGCCGATCGCTACTGTTCTGATTCTCACCATCCAGGCAGTTGCCTCGCCCACGGTTTTCGTGTTGCCTTTGTGAGGGCAGTTTGGGGAACGAGGAGCTGAGGAGCCAGGATTCCTGGGTCCCCTCTCTTACCGCCACCGGGCTTCCCAGCCCTGCCAGAAGAGGCCTTTTTTATTTTTTTAATGTTTTATTTATTTCTGAGAGAGAGAGAGAGAGAGAGAGCATGAACAGGGAAGGGTCAGAGAGAGAGGGAGACACAGAATCCGAAACAAGCTCCAGGCTCTGAGCTAGCTGTCAGCCCAGAGCCCGACGCGGGGCTCGAGCCCACAAACCGCGAGATCATGGCCTGAGCCAAAGTCGGATGCTTAGCTTAACCGACTGAGCCACCCAGGCGCCCCAGGAAGCCTTTTGACTGAAGAGAGAGGGAAGCCTGTCGCCCCCTCCAAACCCCCCGCCAGGAAAGTTTCAGCCGTTTCCTGCCAGGGCTGAGCTTGCTTGGCCAGACCTGAGTGGGGGAGGTCACCAAGGGCACGCTATGGGCCAGACCCTGGGAGCAAAGCCCAGCAAAAGGCTGTTTACTCTGTGAAGACACACAGAGAGGTGGTCACATAAAAGCCAGGATGGGGACAAAGTCCCAGGAGACTTTGAAAGGGAGGGAGAACGCAGACAGAATGGAGGCGGGGTTCTGGAGAGGGGGCTTGGAAGGAAAGGGGGAGCTGCGCGGTATAGCTCCCGGGGTGCAGAATGCACTGAGGACAGGAATCACCACGAACGGGACTTGTGCAAGGCAGTGGGACTGGGTGAAAGAGGATATTTGGGGAGAAGAAACATGGAGGGCAAAGGTACTGAGCTGGGGAAAGGCAGCCGGTGCTAGGAACCCAGAGGAATCCAGTCTGACCAGACCCTGGGGTCGTGGGGGAGGGGCTGGAGAGAAAGGGCCAGAAATCTCTTCCCCAAGGATCACCAAGCCCGTCTGGATGAGCGAGGGCATTGGATGCCAGGAGGAGAGGTGTCCACACACCCTCAAGAGATGTCTCTGGAAACTGAATAGAGGTGAAAGAAAGCAGGGCAAGAGTTGAGGGGGGCCTTTGCGGGGGATAGTGGCGGAGCCTCATCCCGGCTGGATTAAGGGAGCCCCTCCCCCTCCACGTGGTCACCGCCATATGGGGGTCCTCAGGCTCCAGAGCTCCTATCACCCCAGAGCCCCCAGCACTGTCCAGCACGCTCAGTGCCCTGGGGTGGTGGCGTGTCCTCCAGCTTCCCATGGGGGCCTCAGGGAGCATGCGTGATTTAGGTTGGAGTCCTCTGTGAGCCCTGGGCCCACGGGAGGCCTTTGGTCCCCATGTTGACGACCAGATGAACCACAGGGCCGGCTGCTACAATCTAGCGTGATGGGGAAGTCAAGGTCTTGCATTGTGGTTGGTAGGACACATCGGGCCCCTCTCCAAGGCTGGGGGGCTCCCAGAAGACAGAAGCAGTGCCTTATTTAGCCTCAGCTCAGCCCAGGGGTGCTCAGTGAATGCTCATGGCGCTCAATAAGGCAGGAGGCCCTCCCCCACTCTCCCCTACACATCTCCCCCCTCCCCCCACGCACACACACCAACATAAACAGGGATGGTTTCTGCCTGGACCACACCTCCCGGGGTTTTCCTTACAAGGCTCTGAGGAACAGCACACCCCAAGGCCTGTGGGCTGAACAACAGAGATAACTACCCTTGGAGATTGACAATAAGTGCTTTCCTGTGATGACCTCATCACAGCCTCCCCATCAGTAAGTAGGGCAGGGCCTCTTCGAGCCTTTGCACAAATGGGTAAACTGAGGCCCAGATAAGGCCGAGGGCTTGCCCAGGGTGGGATGGGTACTCCATCATCAGGGCCTCCTTAGCCGTGGCCCCAGCCCCTCGGCAAGCTTTCTGAGTTGGCCAGATGGCCAGACCCCACCTGGCCCCATGTCTGCCAACTTCCTGCCCTTGTTTTCCTGGGACACAGCCAACCTGGCACTTGGAGAAGTAAGAGTGGGG